GACGACTCAGACATGGACGACTCAGACATGGAAGACTCAGACATGGAAGGCTCAGACATGGACGCATGGACGACTCAGACATGGAAGACTCAGACATAGAAGAGTGAGACGTGGACGACTCAGACATGGAAGACTCAGGAAGACTCAGACATGGAAGACTCAGACATGGACGACTCAGGCATGGACGACTCAGACAGAAGACTGAGACATGGACGACTCAGACATGGACGACTCAGACATGGAAGACTCAGACATGGACGACTCAGACATGGACGACTCAGACATGGAAGACTCAGACATGGAAGACTCAGACATGAAGGAGTGCCTAGACATGGAGACTTTTACCGAGGTCGCCCATTTGTTGTCCGGCGCACGTGTGGGAGGAAGACCAGGAGCTCTTGAAGAGGACCGACCGACAGGATCCGTCCATTTCGACAATGGCGCAAACTGGACGGAGATCGAAGACCACGCAGATGGTGAGGCCACCCTTGTGACCTGCCAATCGCTTCAGAGAGCGAATCTAGACCCAGAAGACGAGAGGTTTTGAGAGCTGGCGCAGGTGTTTGAAGGCAGGATGGCCGAGTTGTCCGCTCGGTGTGTCTTAAGTCTTGGCATCTTGCACAAGTGGATTGAATTGGTCTTGAATCTTGAATACTTTTTTCCAAGGATCAAGGACGCTACTAGGGGCTCCTGGCCTTACTACTAGGAGCATACTAGGGGCTTACTAGGACGCTACTAGGGGCTCTTGGCCTTACTACTAGGGCCCCTGGCCTTGCTACTAGGAGTGGCTGGCTGTGGGACACCGCGAACTTGAGACCTTGCCAAATATGTGGAGAAAGACGACCAGTGACAAACATGTTCCTTCCTACTTTTTGCTTGCACGTCTGGCGGACCTAAGCAGAGCGGAAGTAAATCACATCAACCAGCAGGACACTCCGAATGCTACAGTGACGACACGGCTGTTGCTGGTGAATTGTGCGCTTTGCTCCCTCACCAGGCGCTAGGGGAGCTTCTGGAGAAGACGCCACCAAGCGAGGCAGATGGCGTGGTGACTTCCATCGGATCAGCTGACTTGGAGGAGCATTTGGTTGACCCCCCACCAAGTGAATCGACACCTGACTTCGCGAACCCCTCAATCTCCTGTGGCTGACTTCATTTGTGCTGTATCATTCTCCTGCACCATGCGGATCCCGTTGTTGGTCGCAAAGCCATGGGCAACTCCCGCTCCGTCTCAACTCATATCCCACGGGATTTCTTCATTCATTGACCCGAGCGTTAGGGCAGTAGTCAGATGTACGAGTAATAGTAACCAGCCGCGGGTGCCCTGCCAAAAACATCGCATATCGATCTCAAACACCTGGGAGTTGCACTCCCACACCAGGCCGATGGGTTGCGGAGCATGTTTTGGGACGTTTCCAGGGAACCACTCACCCCAAAAACACAAGACTCGGATGAATTCGGGTGGTGGTGGGCAGTAAGCAAGCGTTCTTGCAGCCATTTGGTGACCCTTGTGAGTACCCGACAGAATTACTGTAAGTCAGCAGAAGTCCTCGGCTGGACATCGTTTTTGGAACAAGTGATTTGAATGCAAAACCGATAGAGGCCCACCCAAAACCGATACCCTCTAAACGGAGATGGCCCACCCAAAACCAATACCCCAAAGAGTTGTAGATGTATAAGAAAACCTGAGTAGGGTACCACCCAAATACATGTAAAGAGATGCCGAAACCTGAAAACCGATTGGGGCCCACCCTAATTAAATTATCGACGTGCTTTGCGGGTAATAAGTGATATTGTCCGACACACATATATAGGCCTGGAGGGGCTAAAAAAAAGGACCTCCAAAACCAAGCATTCTGAGTTGGACGATTCTCCTCCAATCTCCAATCCACAGGTTTTTTGCGTTCCTGAAAATTGGCTGTTCTCCGTTCCAGTTCTAGGGAGCTGTGAGCTGAACGTCGAAACGGAATTCAACATGTTCCTTTCAAACTGGCAGGTCAGGATGGCATTGGGTCACGGTCCAACAATCTTTCCGGTGGATGGTAAAGGTGATGGACACCGTTCCCAGCATCAAACTCTGAGATGGATCTGGTGACCCGTAGATAGGGGGTGAAGGGCTTGAACCCATTTCAAGTTGAATGATCCGCTTGTCCCAGTCCAAAGTTCGACTGACGATTGACCCCCGAGCGGCAAAAAATTGGGAGCAAGGATGACCGTGCAGCAAGAGCTGAAGCAGCTCGATTTCGAGGCACGGTTTCTAAGCTGCGGACACCGAGGTCAGAAACCATCGGACAGCAGAGTGTTGTAGAGTCCTCGCTCAATTTTTGGATTCGTTATTCCTAGAGCTCATTTTGATGAAGAGAACCGGCTCCGGTATCTCCGGTTTTGCCATGGAAGCACGGCAAATTTGAGCATTGAGGATCATTACTCAAGTCTGCAAACCGATGTGTCAGAGGAAGCTTGGAACAGTTGTCGTGATTTCAACCTGGAGTCAAGGCTAATTTGCCGATCATGTTGAATATTTTTGGGGAATGTGTTGGGTTGGACCGTTGGAACTTGTAAACGAATTTGCTTTCCTGGAGAGGCCAACCTGCAAGAGGCGTACGTCACAGATCTTCGCCTGAGAAATGGCAGAAAAGGATCGCATTTTTTTTGCAGCGGTGCGTCCAGAGCAAGATGTTGGCAGGTGCAGCAGAAGCATTATTTTGCTTTAGCGTGTGTTCATGTAGCTTCATGCTGTATTTGTCAACTGAGAGATCGTATTGTCCGACATACAGAGTCCAGGCTCAACCTTTTTGAACCAACCTGGTCATGGCGCG